ATATCTCTTGTTAATAAGGAACCTTGTGCTCTTGATTTAATGACATAATTGACATGATGAACAGGTAAAATTCAAAATATTTATTGTAGTAACGGAACGCAATGGTGCTCTCTCGCTCTTCCTCTTGTGCTTAAGCATTGTACAAAGCAACTTGGTACTTATAAATAAATATCTAATTGAAAGAGTGAAAGAGTGCATCCAGGGAAGCACTGCCACCTTGCCTTGCCTATTTCTGCCGCCAAGCAGTAATGTTAGCATTACTACGTTCAGGTTTTCAAGGGTAAGAATGCTAGAATGGTAATTACAGGCACATGGGACTTGACGACTTATGTCTCAAGATGACGGGCGCATTGGCAGTGCCCCTCAGATCTTTGTGATTTAAAGCTCTGAGTGGCACAGCAACTCTTAGGGACAGTCGTGTCGTTACCACCAGGCATAACGTCACAGGCGTCACTTAGTATTATAAAGAATAAATAAAATCTTAGGCCCCCACTAAGGAATACATTTGTGATATTAAGGAACGAATACATAATATTCCTAAGTAAATATTATGGGTAGGCGTGTCGAGTATCAACAGGACAAAACTATTTCGTCGTGTCAATTGATATTAAATAAAAAGTTGTATACTTTTATGTTGCTAGATGTATATACAAGGCGTTCCACGGCTATAGGACACGGAGGGAAAGTATTTTAAATATTATAGAATGAATAATTTGCTTATGATGTTATATTTATTTTTAAAAGTAAGTAGCATTGTAATATTTTCAAAGTTGCTTGCCTCACCTGGGAATCGAACCGACTAAATGTGAAAAAAAAAACGTCCTTACTGTATTTTATGACAGCGTTCGAAAGGGTCAATGAAAAGGATTAATTCCTTATAATCAACATTGTGTCTTAATTTACAGAAATGATGTTTCTTCTTCAGCCGATGTTTTTCTATTGTTATTTTAGAACTTTATTGACTCTAAATAGTATGATACCACTTTGCGTGCACTATTTGTATGTTGTTTTAGCACGAGGAGTACACAAGCAAGTGCTGGAGCACTGGATAGACAGTGTTGGAGCACTGCAGTTTTACATATCTCGTCTCTGCAGCCAGTTAGTTTGGAGTAGAAAACATTTGAGTCTTTTTTAAAAATTTCTCAAAAGGATCCCCTACCTGCTAACTAAACTATACTTGGTAAACATTATCTTAATTAGACCCTTTTGTACGGTAGAGTCACGCGAGCCGTTACGTGGGAATGGTACCATAATTTGGTATTTTTTAATTTCATTTAATATAACGAAGCATGGCTATCTTATAATCAACAATTGCCTTGTATTGTTGCTTTATAAAACAATCTATGTACTAGCTAAAAAAATACTACGACGGTACGAATAAGTCGTGCGCCTGGTGGTAAGCTACATGCCTGTCCAGCAGCAGTGCCACTCAGAGCTTTAAATCGCAAACATCTGAGGACCACTGCCGCTGCGCCTGTTACTCTGAGACATAAGTTGATAAGTCCCATGTGCCTATAATTTCACCAGCAGCCTTACCCTTCAAAACCGGAACACAGTAATGCTGACATTACTGCCTGGTGGCAGAAATAGGTCAAGTGGCAGTACTACTCTGGACGAACTCTTTGACAAGGAGCTCAACTACTATATAAACTGCGCTCCTAAAAATTTTGAGATTTAGTAGTGGCGCGGCTGTAACGCTACTGTAACTCCACTGTAGTGACTCCACAATTCGAAGAGATCCGAGTCCGCGTGACCGAGTTCTGGACCACAATAGTATAGTATATGCAATCGATATGATAAGAAAAAGCAATACGCTGAACAGAAAAGATTCGCGATTACTCCGCCGAGAACCGTTCTGATCGTAAATAAGGTGGAAAAGAAATATACCTCTATAGTTACTGTCATTCATAGGTTTATTAAAAGGAAGGTCATTCATAACGAAAGTCTTTAAAATAGAAATTACACGGAATCCAGAGTCTACAAACTTGCGTATTTTACTTTTTGAAAGTTTTACATGAAATCGGAATGTGTATGACACAATAGAAGCAAACTTACCGGTAACTTATCGGAGCTCTCAAATTTATCGACGAACTCCAATCCAGGGAACGTCTTCTTTTGTCCCCTTCATGCCAACTCGCGTAACTTCTCGCAAATGATGTCAAACCACAACTATCACTACCTTTCACTACTTCTACCGCCATGTCCACTGTATCGTTCAAAAACCGTTCCAACTGTTCTTCTTCACTAGTAACGTTCTCGAAAATGGAATGATTTGAAAAATTCGAATAGTTTGAAAAATTCGAATAATTCAGATAGTTTGAATAATTCGAAGGTGAATACACACCGTTGTGTTTTGGACTAGAATAAACGTACACTTTGTTTAGTTCGGAGTCGTTTTCTGTCTTTAATTTTAACTCCATTTGCCGGGAGGTATTTGCAATTAATCTCAAATGTTCCGTAGAGGTGTACCAGGCTTCTAGAACCGCGATATGAGTGTCTAAATCGCGACAGATCAGGCGGAACTCGTAGTCGTGACATCGTTGTTCTTCTACGATTTCTGGAACAAAGAAAAAGCATGTTATCGCCAATAGTAAAATTATTTTTATTTTTTACAATACCAAGTGTTGGTCAAACTAGGCGTGCGCGTGGTGGTAAGCGACACGCCTATCCATAACAGTTGAAGTGCCACTCAGAGCGTTAAACCGCAAAGATCTTAGGGGCACTGCCACAGCTTCCGTCAATCTTAGACATAAGTTGACAAGTCCCATGTGCCTGAAATATCACCAGCAGCCTCGACACAAATTTCATCTCACGATCTATTTATTTAGCGTTTACGTATTACTTAAATGAACGTCCAGAGTACACGGGCAAGGCTTGCTTGAATTTGGTCTACGCGGCGGCCGCGCGGGATGAGAGCGGTTGTATTGCTCAGAGGAATTCAAATAGCATTCAGATTCGCCATTAATGTACATGAAGGCGTGGTAACTGGACGATCGCCGCGCGGCTGCCGCGCGAAAACTTTTACCTCATGTCATTTCTCCTTTTGTACGGTAGAGTCATGCGAGCCGTTACGTGGGAATGGTACTATAATTTGGTATTTTTTATTTGATTTAATATAACCAAGCATGGCTATCATATAATCAACAATTGCCTTATACTGTCGTTTTATAAAACAATCCATGTATTAGCTAAAAACATACTACGACGGGACGAATAAGTCATGCCGCTGCTGGTGGTAAGCTACATGCCTGTACATAACAGTTGCAGTGCCACTCAGAGCTTTAAATCGCAAACATCTGAGGAGCACTGCCACTGCGCCCGTCACTCTGCGACATAAGTTGATAAGTCCCATGTGCGCATTGACTTACAATTATATGGACGTCGGGTCCGCGCTACAAAGTGGCGTTAAAATCGTATACAGATCGTCATTCACGCTTTAGTCTTCGTTTGTTCGACTGACAGCGAAGCAAGCAAAATTAGACAGTACTGCGATGACATTACAATTGAAATTCAACGTTTTAACTTTTTTATATTCCTTTACATGTCACTACGTTTAAATAGGTTGACTTGGGACATTTTTTTCGTGGTTTTTGTATTAGACACGTCGTCCATTTATTTGTAAGTTAATGCATGTACCTGTAATTTCACCAGCACCCTTACCCTTCAAAATCGGAATACAGTAATGCTGACATTACTGCTTGGCGACAGAAATAGGTAAGGTGTCAGTGCTACCCTGGACTAACTCTTTCACAAGGAGCTCTACAGCTACTATTACTATAATTATTAAGTAAACAATATTTGGTTAATTTTCCAATTTACTTGTTTAATATTTATAGTTAAATATATAAAGTTTAAAATCGAATAGTGTACAATTAGTTTTATTGAAATATGTTCAAGACTTTTATTCTGGGATAGCAAATTTACCAATATTTTTTTGGAAAAAAAATTAGTGCGCATTTCACCTCCTTCTCACCTGACGGAAAGTGAAAATGAGGTCGACGATGGAACATGCACACCTAAATAATACCTATTCACTCTCGCCTTGAAAAGGCCATAGTCATGTCGTTCGAAGTACTTAATTATTTTATATCTGGAAGCTATTTTCATGTATAGAAATAATCATAATTAGTCATTTTCTATATATTTTTTGTTTTTTTTTTTACATAGCCCCGCACTAGGGAAGCCCTGTGTCGCGGGTGTCATGGGCACACACATAGACAACTACAAATTATATCCAAACTCACGAGAAAAATAAACGTAGGTCATACAAACATTTCTCCCGGCCCGGGAATCGAACCTGGAACCTCTGCGTGGCAGTCCGGCATGGTAACCGTTCGGCCACGGAGGCAGTTTATATATATGACAATATCATCCAAATATAAAATAATTATGTATTATATTATATAAATATTGTATTGCAGAAAAAAAAAATTAAACGTGTGTTACATCACTTTTGCGCCGATAGCCTCATTTGTTGGAGAACAAATCAGCAGATAAATAATTCCACAATAATTCAACTGTACACAATTTGGAATAATTCGTAAAGAGGATACAAAGCACTTCATACGGACTTGTTATGTTAACAACAGAAGGATGAGATCCCACGCACGTATTGTTTCTCGAAGTTGGAAAAGAAACGACGAAATCAATTCGTGCAACTCCAACATACACACGACGAAATATATCGGATAAAATATCGACAAACAGACGGCAAGGCCGGCACTCAAGGCTTTGCAGCTTCGCCTCCACCAAGGTAGTATCATTAATTAGTTCTTGGCACGCTTTTCCACAAAGTCCAAGGCAGCAAGATCTCTGATAACTGCCTCTTGGTCTGTCACGTAGAGGTCCCGGGTTTGATTCCTGGGCTAGGCTACATTTATTTCTCTCGTAAGTTTGGGTGTAATTTGAGGTTGTTTATGTGTCCATGGCTGAGTGTGTGTGTTATTATATAGTTACTATTATAAGTAATTAGTCGTTATTATTATTATTATAAATGTGTATCATTATATTCAGCTAGAGCCCATGCACACGGCGCGACGACGACGCGTGAATACGCGCCGTAAACGCGCGTCATCTGCGTGTATCGCGCATTTTGGTAAGAGATAGTTTAATTTTACATTTGTTTGTTAATTTGAGTTAGTTTTTAAAATGAAGCAACTAAATGAAATTGTAAGCGTAAGCTCCAGTGAAGTACACAACCATCTTGCTTGCAACGCGATGTTTGCGCGTGTTTGAATCGATTGTTTACAATGCGTCTGCAGCGCGTAAACTTGTTTTTTACAGTACCAAGTGACGGGACGGATAAATCGTGCGCCTGATCGTAAGCTACACGAATGTCCATAACAGTTGCAGCGCAACCCAGAGCTTTTAATCGCAGAGATCTAATTGGCACTGCCACTGCGCCTGTCACCCTGAGACGTATGTTAACAAATCCCATGTGTCTATAATTTCACCAAAACCTTACCCTTCAAAACCGAAACACAGTAATGCTAACATTACTGCTTGGCGGCTGAAATAGGTAAAGTGGCAGTACTTCCCTGGACGAACACTTTCTCAAGGAGCTCTGCTGCTACTACGTATGTATACGCGCAGATGACGCGCGTTCACGGCGCCGTAAACGCGCGTTCGTGAAACGCGCGTCGTCGGCGCGTATAAAATACGCCCTGTGCGTAGGCTCTTATATTCTTTCTCGCTATTCCCTCTACAACTCTCCAACGGTACTAAAATAAAGATTAACCAGTCAACATCCGAACAACCCGTTATTTTACTTCAAATACGTATGAGTTCAGTGTCCTACAATAAACCCTCTAATAACACTAGGGAATTGTTATTACCGGAACGTGACGAATCTATACAAATCCGGGGTCAAGTGTCACGTGCACCCAAAAATAACCTAACAGGATAATATTTTTATTTTACGAAACAGACCTTTAATCAAAGACATTATTTTCACAAACAGATTATGAGATTGCAATATTTATTATATTATTAGATTACTAGCATGGTGCTCGCGACTTTGCCTGCGTAGAATAAGTGCATCGAGTAGCCTCCTGTACTATATTAATTTTCGTAGTTTTATTGGTCCTCCTTGGAAACTTTCATACCCGATTTCACCCCGTTAAAATCTATTTTTGTGACAAAAAGCATATGTCCTTCTCCTAAGTCACACCTATCTCTGTACCAAAATTCACCAAAATGGGTTCATCGGTCCAGGTGAGAAAACGTAAGAGGCAGATTTTTGCATGTTTTTACTGATATGATTATTATTAACAGATTTCAAAAAAAGGAGGAGGTTCTCAATTCGACTGTATGTTTTTTTTTTGTATGTATGTTACGCTATGACTCCACCATTTGTGATCCAATTTTGATTATTCTTTTTTTGTTGGAAAGAGGGTACCTCCATAGTGGTCTCATTTAATTTGTGGCTTGTGGGTGGCTGTTCACGCATGAAGATTCATTTTTATAAATAGCGCCTAAATTTTACTTAAGGAGCCATTATTTTAATGGTTGATTTTGCTATTCTCCAATTCAAGGCGTTTTTCTTTCTTAATATACTTTGAGTAGTGAGAACCGATTTGTATTATCTCATGTGTCAAGTCCCGTATAGTAGCGAACTAGGGGATGAATCCAGGTTTGCGCACTTTCCGGTAACCGATTTCAATAAAATTATCAACCAATAATTTACATATAATTACCAATAATTATATGTAATTCCACGTACTTTTGAGGTCGGTTCTTTTAGTATTCTGTACTGAGACTATTTATTTATTGTATGTATGTTACGCGGCATTTGTGAACCGATTTTGACGATTCTTTTTTTATTGGAAAGAACGGTTATTATATATATATAATATTCCACCTCTAAGGTTGGCAAACTAGGGGATGAATCCGGTTACGCGCTCTTTCAGGTAACCGATTTCAATAAAACCTGTTAAGTAGCGTAGTTCCAATAAAAAAATCGATACGCAGTTTTGACGTCGGTTTTTTTTTTAATAAAAAAGTTATAATTATGTCTTTAAATGAAGAGAAACCCTTTGAACGTTTTCTTAAAGGTCTAAAGTATTTCAACTTTCCGTTGCCCTCAAAAGCAACATTGTGCAGGAAAAAATAAGTTTTCATGTTTTTTTTTTATGGTAAAACCAATTAGAAAATGATATTGATAGCCCAGAAACCAAAATCGTGTTACACGGTGTCATCAAAAAAAATAAATATCTTGACAATTTTGAACCTTACTGAATACTAAATATGCCTCCCCAAAATAACAGAGTACTTGACAGTACAACAGGATATCAACCTATTGATCTATCTAGATATCGGCATTCTCTATTAAAATCCGTAATTTATATTCTTACAATCACGTAACTAAACACGGTGTGAGAGATCATGTGACGTCACCAAACCCATAGAAGTACAAACTGTACTGCAATAAAGTTGAACAATGGACGATATAACATTTTGTTATGGTCTTCTTTGTCTGAAATTTGTTTATTTGTAATAAAAAATGCCTATTCCATCACGTAAGGACAAAGCTGTTTTTTGACCCTCGTTTCCAAACTA